TCCTGTTTTTAGGAAAAACAAAACCAGAAAAAAGGTTGGTATTAAGTCACTGGTCTGGTCCAGATTTCATTTACTTTATACTGAAACCAATTCAATGGATTAAATATTTCCTAAAAATTTCTTGTATTTTGACAAATACACACACACACACACACACACACACACACACACACACACACACACACACACACAAATAATTTGTCCTTATCTCCCCCGAATTTAATATACAGAAACTGGTAATTGTTCTAAAATGAATTTAAAAAAAATTGCTTTAGCAGGGACTAAATACTTCTCCAAGTTATTCAGTTTTTCTCAAATATCTCTAAAACCAAAAGCCCAATCAAGCAAACAAAACTTTAGCACCAAACAAGCCAAAAAATATATTTGAATTAGAGCCAAGGAAGGGGGACAAGAGTCCCACTGTATTTAAAACAACCCTACCCCAATCAACCTAATAACCATGTTGACTGGTTAAAAAGCTATACAGGATGAGATAATTTAAGGAAAATATTAACGGAAATTTTTTTGGTGGTGGTCTTGTGGGGGAGAACAGTTTGTCAATAGGGTGTATGTAGGTGGTAAGACACAAGATACCCTTTGCACCTTCCTGAACAGCATCCCTATCATCATTAATTGAAAGTAAAACCATAAAAATCTCATAATTATATACCTGATAAAGGGAATCAATTATGAATCTATTTTAGCATTAAAGTTCATTCATTTTTTAAGGCTCTATAATATTTAATTTTAGACGAATCAAACTTAACAGGCATTGGAATATCTATTGGCAATCTATTTTCTAACTCAAAAGTACAACAGAATGAATTAGGAAGCAACATTAAGTTAGATGCTTCTGTGAAATTTATGTTTAAAAAAAGACCACCCCCCAGCACCTAAATTACCTAATCACTTCATTATGCGCATTTCTTTCTTACTTTTGGTTTTTTTGAAATATTAACTGCCTAAGCTAATAATTAAATAGACGAGAACCCCCCACACACAGAACCATGTAAATAATCTGGTCATTATAATTCTATTTCTAGAAAAACAAAAACATTAGCCTGACCTCTATCATTAAAAAAAACAAAACAAAACAAAACAAAAAAAAAAAAAAAAAAAAAAAAACCAAACACAAACAAACAAAAAACCATCACAGGTAGTTCAAACCTTCATTTCATCTTACACACACACTGCTACTTATAACATTCAATGTACGTTGAAATAATAAGGGTGGCAAAATCAGTAAATTATTACATGTTAAAGATTAAAACGTTTATTCTAAAGCAGTAAAAAAGTGTAACTTAAAAATGAATCCTGTATTTATAGTGCATGAATACTACTTTAGTCCTCGGGGTTCCCAAAAATCAGTTTTCTTCCAAAGAGTTAAAGTAAATATGGTCACAGAAGTAATATTTCTTTTGCTTTAATTATACAGAAAGTGTAAAGAAACAATTTACATTTATAATAACAAATGTGCCATGGTGTTCTTTTTTCTTGCTTGAAGTTGCAAGTAGAAAATAATTGCTTACCTTATCAATTATCTTTTGAAAATGAACTTCTACAGTACAACTCTGAATATCCTTGTGTTCATCAGAATTATGTATCAACACTGACAGCTTTTTAGACCTTATTTTTTGTGCTCGATAGCCAAACACAAAGAGCATGGAATCAATAACATTGGATTTTCCACTGCCATTTGGCCCAATAATACAGGAAAAGCGCTGTGTAAAAATAAATAAAAAAAAAATTAAATTTAAAGTCACACTAATTCTACTAATTTTAAACAATTTATAGTAAAAAAACTAAAGGCATTTAAAAGCTTTCATTGTTGGAAAATACATAATTTGGGTTTTCTTTCTCTTTAGAAATAAAAGTTTATTAAGAAAAGGAAAGCACTCCAAGAATGAGTGGGCTAGTGAGCTCAGTGAAAAGCATTCACTCCAAAAAACCTACTTTTGAGTTTTCTGACATCATGTTTTACTCTAGCACAAGTTTTAACATTTTAAATAAAACCATATTCAAATTCTAATCACGACATTTTATAAAAGTCATTACAACAGCCAACGGGAAAACATTCCCTTCTAATAAAGATTCCATTCAACATGAAAACCTTATTGCTTATTGATACAGAGATATCAAAGATACCAGATAAAGAAAACCTAATTCCTGTTGTTGAAATCATGGGCATATTTATGTGTGTCTGAGGGTGTGTAAAGAGCCAGGATAGTTAGAAAACAAATACTTTGCAATAAAGCCAAATACCTTATGGAAAGGTCCCAAGATTTTCTCTCCAGCATAGGACTTGAAGTTTTGGTTTACAATGTGAGTTATCATTAGACGAGGAGCTCCAGCTTCACTGGCCATTGCTGGAGGCGGGGGTGGAGGAATACTACTCAAAATCTCTTCTAAACTTCTGTTATCAAGTTCTTCACCTGGAGTCTCTAGGTTAAAGGAATGCCAGAGAGGGGAAAGCCTACATTAGCATAATTAGGTGGAAGGCAATCGACTAGAGGGATGTTATTTAGGAAACCTAGGAATCTATTTTCCACAAATATATCCTAAACATGAGAATGGATAATATTTCACCTTAGTTCCATGAACAAGAAAATTCGTGAAAGTACCACCAGTCATAAAATTCACTATACTGATCAGAGGAGTCAAAACACCACACCATAAAGCAAACCTGCGAATATCACAACAAATGGATTCCCTGCTTCCTATATAAAACAGGAGATGCAACCCAAACCACAGGAAGTCCAACTCTACATGGCTCAGCAATTAAGCTCACAGGAGTTTCACAGTAGCTCTTAATTTCTACACTCGGAATGCTACACGACCTCAAATTCTATTTTCTCTTTGAAGGCAATCTAAGGGGCCCGGCTGTTTTTTTTCTCTTGCAGGAGACTCGAGTTCTGTTCCTAGCATCCATAGTGGGCGGCTTAAGACTGATTATTACTCCAGGTCCATGCATTCTACGTATGTGTACATACCCCCGAACCAAACACACTTTAAAAAGTAAAAATTAATATTGCACCAAAAAGAAAAAAAAAATCCAAGGGTGAGGTTGGAGCGAAGCAACTCTGCATCACATTCAGTCCAGTGTAGGGGCGGAGAGGCGCTCAACAACTCTGGGCTGACCGTACCGCGTACAGCCGAGACATCAGTGCTACTCCAAGACGTCACAGAAATCCACGACTCCTGTTTCCCGCTCACCCTCATCCCTTCCAGAATTCGTTGCAGCAAAAGCTGCATGGAACTCCTCTGAAAACCGTAGAGTGGCTTTCCCGAGCCGCACTTCTGGCAACACCGACCTTCCGACGTCAACCTGTCGCCTGCGCCCCGGCAACCCCAGCGGGTCTCCGCAAGCCTCCGGCGCACCCAGGTCCCGGGCCCGTCACTCACCTGCAGCTGCAGCGTTGTCCGCTCCGCTGGCCGGTTGCTCCCGATCCCCATCGCTGTGGGCGCCGTCCGGGGAGGGCGGCGGCCCTTCCTCCTGGCGGCAGACAGAGGAGGGCTTGGTGCCCTTCCGCCGCATGGTGGCTGCGGCAGGAGAGAGCCGGGAGTCAGGTCAGCCCGTAGCTCGCCTCCGAGGCTCCGCCGCCGCAGGACGGGCTCCGCCCATGACCCACCCGCCACCGTTTTCCCCAACCCCGCTAGCAGGTAGCGGTTCCTCAGAAAAGTGGCTGCCGCTAACACCGCGGTAGAAACCGGGAGGGGTAGGTCTTCCTACGTCCCAGGGAAAGTGGGAAAACCTAGTCGCTCTTGCAAACGCGCCCGGGACCACTCGCTCGCTCAAGCCACCCGCCCCCGTAGAGCCATCTCCCAAGCGAAGGACATCTGGTGACAGTCCCACGCCGTCGGGGCTGGCGATCGGAATTACAGAGAAGAGTCCGTCCAGCTGCGGGTCTGCGTGGCTACCCTCGAGAGCAGCAGCGCCTGCCCCGGGACTCGTCGTCACCCGCTCTCCTCTCCCCGCCATTTAGATGTTGACGCCGGGACGTCTGGGGGCGGGGGGGGGGAGCTCAGGTCTCTCCTCCTTATGGCCCAAGCGAAAAAGGCTGCCCGAAGCCGGAGTCACCCGCCAGACACGGATAAGTGGGACTCGGGCAGCGTCTGCTCCGGATGGGTCACTTTCCGGGCTAGCAGGGGTCTATCCCTCCCGGGCCCCGGGCGGAGTCCCGTTCAACAGGCTAAGCCATACCAAGTCCCCAGTCCCCTTGCAAGGGAGAGGTGACGGACATGCCGGGGAGGAGGGGGGCGCCCTGGCCCAGGCAGGCTCGCAGCCTCCCCCAGGAAGACGCTGGAGCCGCCGCCCGGCGGCCGCGGGGGAGGGGTGACAGGCGGCGGAGCTCCCCAAGCCGCCTCCGCCGCACTTGGCTGCTCGGGCTCCAGGCCTCTGTACCCGGCAACCAGGGGACAGGAAGAAAAAGAAGTGTGACAACCTGATCCCGAAAAGAAGGACTTTACCAGTCGGCAGGTCTCCTCCGAGCAGGGCAACAAACCGTGGGACGGTCGCCCCCCGCCTCGCTCCTGCCGGTGTCTCGGCTCCGGGTCCTTCACTCGAAAATGGCGCCTAAAATCCAAACTCGAACGGAAATTCGTTACAAATGCGCGCAATGGTTTCTGGGACCCGCGAATTTGAAAAAAAGTGCGGCGATTCCCACCGCCATCTTCGGGCCGTTCGAGCGCATGCGCGGGCTCTACCTGGGACAGTGGCGCGGGGGCGGGGGGAGTTTCGACTGAGAAGGGACGGCAAGGAGGGTTGCGCCTTCCTTATGGTCTTTAATAGAGATAGGACTGTAGAAACTACAGCCCTCCGCATTGTTGGGACCACAGCACTTGGAAAACTGGGGAATTTACTGGCGGATTTTGATAAAGAGGAAAAAAAATACCCAGCAGGGTCCCGCCCACAGCTGTAGGCGGGGCCCAGCTGCCCAGTAACACCCTTCTGTGAGAGGGCGGGCTCATTTAGGGGCGGGGTTTAGAGCCAGCTCCGGTGACTGGCACCTCACAAGTATCGCGGGAACAGGGAAGGGAGAACGCTTTTAGCGCTTAGAAATCACTATGGTGACGGAAAGGTCGGGAGGCTTCTCGGTAACTGGGTTTAGCTCTGAGAGCAATCGCCGCTGCTTTCCGGGAACTTGAGGTAAATTTCTTCACCTCCAGAACCTCTGAAGAAAGAGCGTGGAAGCCGTAGTGGTCGTTGGGACCTTCCTTCCCTTGCTTTGAAGGCAGGATTTGCGGAGGATTGGTTATTTTCCATCTTCTTCCAGCCAGTAGGACTCTCTGGGTGTAGATATTGGGATGTGGAGTTTACTGGTAAAGCGAGGAGACTGGGATTAGTGAGTAATCTTGTGGTCCACATATGAATAGCAATGATTTTTTAACTGTTTGTGTTAATGTCACTAATGAAACGTTTTGGATTTAAAATAATTATTTGGCCAACAGGGCTCCCAATGGGAGAAAGGATTTGCTGGTATTAACTAGTGGAATTAGTTCATAAGTGGCATTTGTGTGCATTGCACTGTAAAGGAATGACCAGGATTATTAAACAGATGTGATAGTTCCTGTTCCCGGAGAACTTAGTTTCGTTAATGGACTTTTAACCTGAGTTTGAGGATAGTGGTGGTTGGGATTGAGTTTCTAACTCTCCGAAAATTGTATGCCAAGTTTTGTGTGCTTGTGCTTTGTTTTCCAGGAGGGTTAGTTTTCCTTTAATTTTGAGACACGGTCTGAACGCCTCTACCCCCATGTTAAAGAATCACTGATTGATTTGATTGCCATCAGTACTTATACAATAACTTTTGAATTTAGAACTGTTAGCCTCTTTCTTTCTCTTTACCTATTTAGGGTCTGATATGTTAGAGCAGCAATAAACCTGTTTTAAGAATGAATTTACGTTGTTGGTCTGAAATGTATTATGACTTTTAGATGCATAAAACATAGTTTGAGGAAATACTATAGAAGAGGACACTTCCAAGTGTAAGAGTCTGTGCAGTTTGGATATCAGTGTGGATTGAATAAGCATTTGCTTAACCTTATAATGTACCTTTATGTTTGTAGTTGAAAATAAATGGTCTTCATAAAACAGATGCTAACTTAAAGCTCAATGAATTGGGGTGCGTGTGTATGGAGGACTGGCAGAGATATATATATTAAGGGGGTTCTCTTTAGGGGCTTCTGGAGTCCTTTGTATTTCCAGATGTTGTAAAATACTACAAAACTGAGTGGAAGAGTAGACTGGGGCAGGGTAGATGGTTTAGTGGTTAAAAGCACTTACGACTCTTGGGACTTAGGACCCAGGTTCAGTTCCTAGCACCCACATAGCAGCTTCTAACCATCTGTAACTCCAATTCCAGGTGATTCAGTGCCCTCTTTTGGCCTCCTCAGGCAGGAGTAGTGCATGAGGTACACATGTATATGTAAAATCAATATAATAAAAAGGTAGACTAGACCACATTGAAAAGTGTATGTGCTAATCAGAGCAGAATCTACTAGAAAAATGTAAATTCAAAACAGGAGGCTGTAGAGATATTTCTGCAATAGGAAAACCTGCTGCTTTTGCAGAGGGCCTGGGTTTGGTTCCCAGAACCCACACTGGTCAGTTCATACCTGCCTGCAATTCCAATCCAGGGGATATGACACCTGCTTCTGGACACCAACGGTAATAGACAAAGACATACAATGCATAACGCAGGCATTCACATATACACATTAAAAAATAGAAACAACCCCAAATCCTGTTATTTCTTTGGCTATATGATTGAGCAGTTTACTCATAAAGTATCTCTGGGAGTGTTTATTTACAAAAGTCAACAGATAATGTCTATTTTATAGAGTTGCTTGTAATTGATGTTACTTATGTGGTGACATATTTAAAGTGTGAGCTGAGTATCAATAACGCCATATCAGATTTGAGGAAGAGTAGCTTATGAAGGATCTTGAAAGGGAAGTCAAGAGTTTAGCTATAAACTGAGTGTGGCTATTTCTGTAATCTGAGCATTTGGGAGACGAGGCAGGAGGCTTGCTATGAGTTTAGACCAGCCTGGTCCACACAGTGAGTTAGAACCAATGCTATACAGTGGGGGCATGGGGAGAATGGGGATAAGGAAAAAAGTTATTAGCAAGTACTGAGGTGGGAGTGGGTTATATTACAGGAAAAGAGGTCAGTAATAGCTTTAGTTAGATTATTAAACAGTCTTTCATGTGGTAGGTAGGAAGTAGTATAAACCCTTACAGACAGTCAAATATTGCTCTTGGTGAATCTTTGAATGAGTGAAAAGGTAACAGGAAGAACATAAATGCTAGTTTTACTGATTTGGATGATTCCTGTCAATATGAAAAAGGTGTTTTTTTTTTTTGTTTTTTTTTTTGTTTGTTTGTTTTTTTTGACAGGGTTTCTCTGTATTGCTTTGGAGCCTGTCCTGGAACTCATTCTGTAGACCATGCTTGCCTCAACTCAGAGATCCTCCTGCCTCTGCCTTCTGAGTGCTGGGATTAAAGGTGGGCATCACCAAGGCCCAGCTTGGAAAGTTTTAACAATTAATGTGGGAAGAAGTGCTTTTCAATAAAAGTTGATGTAATTTTATGTAATGACAGCATCAAATTTAATTGAACTTAACCATGCCATCTCAGATGTTTTTCTTCCTTTTTACTTTTTTTTGAAACAGGGTCTCATATAGCTCAGGCTGGCCTTGAATTCACTATGTAGCCAAGGCTGACTTTGAATTTCTAATTTTCTTTCCTTCACCTCCTTAGTTCTCGGATTAGATAGAGTCAAGCATCATAATTCGTGAAACATTTTCATAACAGCCAAAATTAAGTTACATAATGAAGAAAAGCTACAACATGTTCTTTGTAGCTACAGAGTAGGCATAAGTCTGATTATGAACATGATGAAATAAGACTTTCAGGGATTGGGAATGTAGGCTTAGTTGGTAAAGTGCTTAAGAGGCCCTGACTTTGATTCTCAGCACTGAATAGAACCCCTAATGGGGGGCTGGGGAGATGGCTTAGTGGTTAAGAGCTGCTCTTCCAGAGAACTGAGGTTCAATTCCTAGTACCCACATGGCAGCTCACAACTATCTGTAACTCCAGTTCCAGGGTATCCAACACCCTTATATACACAAACATGCAGGTAAAAACACCAATGCACATGAAATAAAACAAGACAACACTAACAGCAAAACAACCCATTATGGATGGCATACTCCTGTAATGCTAGCATTCAGGTAGAAAGACAGGAATATATAAATTCCAGATTAATTTACACAGTTATTTTAAGGCTAGCCTGGATTACTTTGAGATTCTGTCTCAAAAAACAAAACAAAAGTTTGTCTAGACCTTAAATTTTAGCACTCAGGAGGCAGAAGCTGGTGGATGGATTTCTTTGAGTTCAAGGCCAGTTGGGTCTCCCTAATGAGTTCCAGGACAGCCAGAGCTACACAGTGAGACCCTGTCTCAAAAACCAAACAAAAACATCACCACCAACAAAAAACAAAACAACAACTAAACAAAAGAAAGACATTCAGAATGCATGTAATTATTTTTTATGTGTATGTGGTGTTTGTGTGCTGTGCTCGTGTGTGCTTGTACAGACTAGAGGTAGATATCTGGTGCTTTGTCAATTGAGCCATTTCCCAGCCTCATTAATGTAATTTTCAAGACGGTATTAGGAGTACAAGAAGTAAAGGCATGTGGCTAATTGTTGCCAATACTCCTGACACTCCTCCTGGAATTAACATAATCTAATTCTAAAGAGAAGTCCATTTAAAAAAGACCAGATTGCAGTCATATCCAATCTAGGAAGTATGGCTACTTCTCTCTTTCCTAGTCTAAAATGATCTACCAACAGTCCTTATTTGCAACACCAGACAGTCTGAAGAGGCCTTTCCCTTCCCTCCCCCAGAATGAGAGCACCTGTCTATAATTACAGCTTTGGTAGGCTCAGGCAGGAGGATCTTAGTATTAAAGCTAGTCCAAGCTATATAAAAGATCCTATGTTAAAAAGGGAAGAAAAGTTTTTACGCTATAGAAAGAAATAAGAATTCAAAGAGAAAATTAGAATTAGAATTTAAATTTTCATTTACAATTCTTTAAGAGCCTGGTTGAGTGTTGTCATAATTATAATAATGTATGTTGTGTTTACCTTATAAAAAGATTTTTAAAAGTCTGAAATTATATTTAAGAGCAAATCTTTAAAAATATGTAATCATAAAATTTAAATCATCTAGATATAGGGTAATAAGCAAATGTATTTAATAATGCATAGTTGGAGAATATTGGGCAAAGTTATTGTTAATAAAAGGTCTACAGAGCGAGTTCCAGGACAGGTTCCAAAGCTACAGAGAAACCCTGTTTCGAAAAACAAAACAAAACCAACCAAACAACAACAACAACAAAACTTCAAACAATATGTAGGGCTAGGGCACAGTGCAATAGCAAAGCACTTGCTTAGTACCAAAAAGGGGTGGGAATAAACATCACTTCTCCTTGGGTTCTTCCTAGTCTCCATCATTAAATGTATATCTCCCCAGAGAAGTGTTTTAGTACCCACCAAATTTATTTTCATTTGTACAAAAGGGGTTGAATTATATTTTACAAAAATTTTGTTATGTGTGTAGGCATGTGCTATGGTGTAGGCATGTGCTATGGTGCACACGTGCATGCACATGGAGGCTGGAGGTAGATACCAGGTGTCCATCTCTATCATTTGCCACCTTAGTTCTTAAGACAGTGTTTTTCACTGAACTCAGAGCTTACCAATTGGCTAGCACTGCTGGCAATTCTGGATATCTATAGATCTGTATGCCCTGTGCTAGTGTTACAGACATGCTAGCTTTTTCCATGGGTGCTAGAGATCCAAACACAAGTCTCATGCTTGCACCATAGTCACTTTACCCACTGAGCCATCCCACAGCCTCACTCACTATGTACTATATATTTTTAGATTAGTCTGAGCACAAACTGATATTATTTTTATACTTCATAACACAGGCTAAAGAAATTCCACAATAATTTCCATGATTCCTTGTTCTCACTGATTTGTCACATGAAAGCAGGTATGAACGTTTCTACTTGTATTATGTTAACACTTGGATTTTGGAGCTTTTTGGATTTTAGATTTTTGGATTAAGGATGTTCAAC